TGTACCAGTGCAGTGTCTGCTGTTATTAAATATAGCTTTAATAATATCACTGTGTGCAGTTCCACTGTCAAGTTTGTAGAATTAATAGCTTGAAATAATGTCTCTGTTTAAATCCAAATCTCTTCTTTTATGATTCTGTAATCTTAGAGCTTTTCTCTACTCTCAGTCTTGCATTCTCTCCTCTCGCCCCCCCCCCAAAAAAAAGTCCTGTTATCACACCAAAATAAAACAATCTCATAAGCTTATAGCAAGGCTATATTTTGTAAGAGGGTACATGAAACTGTCAACCTATTAAAGCATTGTAGGTAAACCACTAGCTGTAATATGAATAGAAGAACACAAGAACGGCCAAACTGGGTCAGACCAAATTCCATCTAGCCCAGTATCCTATCTTCCAACAGTGGTCAATGCCAGATGCTTCAGATGGAATGAACAGAACAAGTAATCCACCAACTGATCCATCCCTTGTCTCCCATTCCCAGCTTCTGCAAAACTAGATTAGAGACAGCCTCCATGCTCAGCCTGGCTCAGCCTAGATCTATCCTCTATGCATTTATCTAGTTCTTGTTTTAAACTCTGCTATAGTCTTGGCCTTCACAACATCATCTGGCAAGGTGTTCCACGAGTTAACTCTGTATATGAAAAAATAATTCCTTTTGTTTGTTTTAAAACTGCTACCCGTTAATTTCATTTGGTGACCCCTAGTTCTTGTGCTATGAGGAGTAAATAACACTTCCTTAGGACACCAGTCACGATTTCATTGGAAAAGAGAGGGGATATGATAGACGTCTATAAAAAGTCTCAGTCTTTTAAACCTTTCCTCATATGGAAGCTGTTCCATACCTTTAATCATTTTTGTTGATCTTTTCTGTATGTTTTCTAATTACAATATGTCTTTTTTGAGATGGGACAACCACATCTGCATGCATTATTCAAGATGTGCACATAGCGTGGGTTTATATAAAAGCAATATGATATTCTCTGTCTTATTAACTAATCCTTTATGATTCCCAGCACCGTTTGCTTTTTTTGATTACTGCAGCACATTTAGTGGATGTTCTTAGAGAACTATTCAGCATGGCTCCAAAATCTCTCTTGAATGGTAGCAGCTAATTTAGACTTTATTATTTTATGTGTGTTTTGCGGGTTATGTTTTCCAATGTGCATTACTTTGCATTTATCACATTTAATTTCATCTGTCATTTTGTTGCCCAATCACCCAGTTTTGTGAGATCCCTTTTGTAACCCTTCTTTGGACTCTATTTTCCTGAGTAGTGTCGTATCATCTGCAAATTGAGCCAGATGCTGAACAGCACTGATTCCAGGACAGATCCCTGGCAGACGTCAATATTTACCTTGCTCCATCTGAAAACTGGCCATTTATTCCTACCCTTCTTTCCTATGTTTTTTACATTTTGTAGATCAGTAATTGGTTATCTCTCAGGGCAGGGGCCATGTATTCCCTCTAGCTGCTCTTGGTTCCATTTCTCTAGCAAAATGAGGAGTACAGGAGCTGCCAAAAAAGCTCCCCGCTGTTGGCAGAACCGCGGCTACACTTTACTTTCACTTTCGACACTGAGCCTGATCGGCACAGCGTCGGAACATGATTATGCAAATTAAGCCCAGGATATTTAAATCCCGAGCTCATTTGCACTTCCGAAGTGACTAATCTGCCTCTCTCTGTCTGCAGAGGGGTATAATCAAGACACAGCCTGGGAGGGTACTGGAGGGCTGAGCCTACAGCGAGAGTGTAACCGAGTGACAGCAGGCAACCATGGGGAGAGGTGGTGACCTGATGAGCTAATCTCCAAGCAGCGAGGAAGAGGTTCCAGTCTAGCAGTGAGTGGACTACCCTGTCACATATATGTGTTGCCTTAACACTGTTTTTATTTCATTGTGTGCACTGATTTGTGACCTTACTTTCTCACAAAACATGTCAAAATATTTCATCTGAGGAATGAAGTTGGGCGGTAGCAATAGGAGTCCTCTATGCAAATCAAATTATGACAGTGCTATGATGTCACTGCATATGCAGGTTTATGCCAGTTACACTGTTAAAAAACTATTGTGAGATCATGATCAGGATTCCCTAGAAAAGAGGGGTGGGATTGTCAAGGGACTATAGCAGGAAAGGGAGAGCAGCAGCAAGAGTTGTTGAATTAACAGAATTCTTTCTGTCCAAGAAATGAATTGTGAGTCAGCACATTTTGGGATCTTTAGAGGTAGCTAAAAACTCAGCAAAGACTTTGAGTTGACAACACCAGTGCAAAATAAGAAGGGCCTTGTGTTTTGGCCTTGCAGATAGTGTGAAATACACAGGGAAATGTTTGCTTTTGATTGTGCTTCAAGGAAGCTTATTTTCAGATCTAAATTAATAAAACTAAGAAATCTAGGAGTGTGCAGCCACTTATGCCATCTTCCATCAACTCCTCAATGGGTAAAATACATTCTCATGGTGCCCTCTAATCTTTCAATTTACTTAAACACTTCCAGACTCTGACGCATGCACACTTATCATTGTGTGACTTACAGCCCCTTGAGCCTGTCAACCCTGAATTTCACTCCGGGTACGTTTACACTAGCCCCCTAGATCAATCTAGGGAGGCTAATGAGGGTACCTGGAATTGCAAATCAGGCCGGGATTTAAACATCCCACGCTTGATTTGCATGTTCCCAGCCAGTCGCTATTTTTAGAAATTGACTAGCCCTAAGTAAGTAATTCGAATTAGCTGGTAAACCTCATTGCAGGAGGAATACCAGCTAATTCAAGTTAGGGCCTTAAATCGGAATCCCGTTTCACTGCCACGTGTAGACACGGGCAGTTACTTCGGGCTAGCCAATTTCTAAAATGGCAACCGGCCGGGAACATGCAAATCAATAGGGGGATATTTAAATCCCGGCTTGATTTGCAATTCCGGTCGCCCTCATTAGCCTTCCTAGATCGATCTGGGGGCTAGTGTAGACGTATCCTCCGTGAGTGTTAAGAAGCTCAAGGGAGCTTAAGCTGCTCTGGCTGAGCAGAGTTTCAAGAAAAGAAACTAGTAGGCAACTGTGTAAAGTACCCAGAGCTGGATTACCCAATAGGCAGACTAAGCACATGCTTAGGGCATCAGCAAAGCAGGGGCACCCCAAAAATGAGATTTTACGGTATAGTATTGTTTTTATTTTGAATTGCGTGGGGGGGGGCACCATAATCTTTTCAGTGCTTAGGGCCTCTAAAGGTCTTAATCCGCCCCTGAAGGTACCTTCCTGCACCTGTTAAGAACTGCCGTTGGGAAGCTGTTTCTAATATAACTACTTCATTGAACCTGAACATTTAGAAAGAATACTGCAGGCCTCATTCTTACATGACAATAAAGGGAGGTCTTTATGCCCTGTTCCACAGTAGAGAGATATTTTTAAATAACTCCCTGTGACAGGGCGAGGCAGCCCATCACTGAATCTGCAGGGCCCAGCCAGGGTTACCTGGCTGCAGAGGCCCCTCCCCCGCAGCCCTACCGAGCATGCCCGGGCTGTAGCTCCGCTATAAAAGCCTGGGGAAGGACTCAGTCTGGGCT